GCCTGCACCTGCGAGCGCGCGGCGCCCCTGCTGCTGCCTGGCTCGGCGGCCGGCGCTCAGACTCCCGCATCCGCGCCCCGCGCTCCTCCGCCTGCGATCCTCTCCCGCCCGCCCGCAGTCACTCCCGGGCAGGCTCCTCGCCACGCAGGCTTTATAGGGGGAGGAGGCTCCCGCGGGAGGTAAACAGCAGCCCTTGCGCAACGCCCAGCTGGTTCTCCCGCTTCCCCAGTGGGGACTGGGGAGAAGGTGGGGCCCGCGCGGCTCCCGGGTCCGGGCCGACGGGGGTCGCCAGGGGGCGCTCCGAGGGCCGCTGGCCGGGTGCGCGGGGAGCCCCCGCCCGCACGAGGGCCCGAGTCTCACCCCCACCCCCACCCCGTGGAGCGTGGCGGGCAGGGCGCCCCGGCTCGCTCTTGGCAAGTGTGCCTGCGTCGCCAAGGTGTGAGTCAGCCCGTGCGCCCGGCACACCTGACATCCGCTCCCGGTGCTCGCGGCTTTGGCACCGCTGAGCGCTGCTTCGTGTGTGCTGTCACTCCCGCTGTCGCCTCTCTCTTTCCATCTTCCTGTCTTACCTATTAAGGGCTGAAGCCTTGCGGAAGGGGTGGGAGTCGCGCCCACACTCCCACCGAGGAGTCAGGACGGATTCTCCCCGCTCACCTGACGCCTGACGTCCCAAGGCCTCCCCTGCCCGGCTTCCTCTCTCTTTCTGGTTCTTTCTCTTGGCTTTCCCTCTGTGCATTTTTATTTCTATTTGTCTCTTTCCCCCTTTCTTTGAAATGTACCCCAGCATTATCTACTCAAGCTGTCGGAATTCACTGAGACCGGGAGAGCTGAACTCTCCAGGTTGAACAGTGAGGAAATGACCAGAATGCACCCTGGCTGTGTCCCAACCCTACCTCTTTTTCTTTTTCTTTCTTTTTTTTTTTTTTTTTTTGTTTTTGTTTTTGTTTGAGACAGAGTCTGGCTACGTAGCCCAGGCTGGCCTCAGACTCAAAGCAGTCCTCCTGCCTCAGCATCCCTGGGGCTGGGATTACAGGTGTGCACCACTATACTGAACTTTATCCCTGCCTTTGAAAAAAAATTGTTTATTTTATTGCAGATCTCTAGAACTCCCTCCTCTTTCCTGATGTTCCTTCTGATCTTCTTTGGGCCCTCTTCCCTGACCTCCATTTTATGTCCTTTTTCCTCCTCCCTCCTCTTCTCTTTTCTTTTGCTGTGTGCTTTTTTCTCTTCCTGGCTCTTCTGCCTTTCCCATGGCTGGCCTTTTTGTCTGATACCCTTCCTTGGGGGGTGGTAAGTAAGTAAATGCCTAGGTGTATACAATTGTGATCATGCACACCGTGTACAACATGTGTTCATTGACGTCCACATGGACGCACTGTTAGTAAGATGCATTCATAGAATGCAAACACCCCAGACACATTGGAATAGCCTCATATACGCTGATATCACTGGAGTGGAAGCCCAGGGTTATTTAAGATGCATGTATACATGCAAAGAGACACTATCATTAGTTTTATTGTCAATAATAACAAGAAAACAACAGCAGTGAGTCCTCATGGAGCAGCAACACTTTATTAGGAACCCCTTCCGGGCACCCTTCTCCCTCCCCCCCATTACGGTCAGGGAGATACTCAGTGTGACCTGTGACAAACAAACCTGCACAAACAAACACGTGCACATACACACTTGTTTTGGCTCTCGGCTCACTGAATGCAAGATAAAACTCAAGCAAAAGACTACAGATAGGATCAGCATGTTTTTATAAAAGGTGGACTTCTGTGTTATGGTAGGCAGAATAATGCCCCTTCAAAAATGCTAGTCCTTGATGTGAGGGTGACCTGGCTGTGACATCTTCACCCCACTGATTGCCAGGCTTGACTCAGCAGACCCGGCTGGGGGTGGGTGTCCCCTTCCTCCCTCACCGCTCCTTCCTGGAGCTGAGGACCACCAGCCCGTGGAGGATGGCATTCCTCAGTCAAGGGTGTATGAGTAGCTGTGCTGCCCTAGGACCTCGAAGCAAGCTCTCCCAAAAATGCTATGTCCTATTCCTGTAAACTGGGCATTTTACCTTACTTGGAAAAGAGGAGTTAATTCGCACAGGGAATTATGTTTGAGAAATGAGAGACTATCCCAGAGATCCAAAGGGTCCACTGCAATCACAGGGGTCCTTAAAAGTGGAAGGCAGGTGCAAGAGGACAGCCAGACACAGCAGCATGAGCAGGCCTTGGCCTGACATCACTGACTTTGAGGACTGGGAGGGAGCCGTGAGCTGAATGCAGATGACCTCTAGAAGGTGTACACGCCAAGGAAAGGGCTTCTCCCTCAGAGCACCGGGAGGAACAAGCCCTGCCGACACCGTGATTTCACCCAGCAGCACCCTTTCTATATGTGTGAAACACAGGGCCGTCAGATGGTAAGCGTGTGCTCTTCCCAGCCACTGAGCTTGTGGGAGCTTGTTACCGCAGCGGCAGGCAGCTGGTGCTCATGCTTGCCTTCTCCTGGTCTCTCCCCCTGTCCCTCTCTGCACTTGTCTGCTTTGTGCCCCCCCCATCTGTCCTGTTTTCTGGATTTCACTGCCTTTCTTGGCCTTCTTCCTAGTTCTCTTTCATCTCTTTTCCTTTAGGCTGCTTCTATGCTAGGAAGCTCTAGGAAGCTCTACCTCCACCTTCAAAGTCTCTTACACAATGAATTCTTTCTGGACCTGGGCCTGGAGTCCCGGGGAGATGGCTGCGTCTCTGCAGGGGACTTACACGTACTGCCGCCAATCCAAGCACCATCTCACGGCCCTCAAGGTTCACAACCTCGATTGCACGCTGGAATCATCTGGAAAACCTTTAAACTCCTAATGCGTACATGACAACTCAGACCCATTAAACTGACCCTCCCTGGGGAGGGCCCAGGCGTGGGCAGTTTTAAAAGTCTGCAGGGGCCCCAGTGCTTAGCCACACACTGTCTATATGGTGGTGGTTGACAGTGGACCTGCTCCTCGCATGTCATGCCTTCAGACTGAACTGCGGGCCTTGCACCGTCCGTCCTTGAGATGCCAGGGCTGACCTTGCTGTACCCTCGCTTTTCCTTCTGCCCCTTTCACCTGGCTCTCGCCATCTCCTCGTCAGGTTTCAGTCCAAAGGCGACATATTCAGAGAGGGTTTTGTTGTTGTCGTCATTGTTTTTGTTCTGTGATTGAACCCAGGGCCTACGCATGCTGCCGGAGCTAACCCAGCCCAGAGAGGTGCTCTTCACCACTCAGGCTGCAAGCAGCTTCCTGCAGAGGCCCTCACTCTCTCCTCAGATTACTTGTCGTCCACCATCGTCATCGCTGTCTGCACCCATCTGTGTATCTGTTTACTGGTTCTGTCCGGCAGGTGTTAAGCAAGGCAGCGCAGGGCCCCAACCTTCACACGCTCGGCTGCTGGAGGTGCACCTGGCCGTGCGCCCAGTGCAGGTGCCAGGCAGCCTGTGTTCAGTGCTGAGTTACTCATCACTGATTGGGCAAAGCCAGAGGAGCGTTGGGCTGGCCCTGCTCACACCTCCGAAATGCCAGACAGAGACATTCTTATCCTTCTCCATCAGTAGTCCTTCCTCCCTGGCAGGTCCTGGGCTCTGTGCTGGGAAACACTCCCGTGATAAGAGACGAGGCTCGAGGTCCAGCCGAAGGAGCTCGCGAGGCCTTGCCACCCCCTCCTCTGAGCAGGTGATCAGGGCTCCTCGAACAGTGTCCACTCAGCCTTCATGCTGGTGATCGAGAGCTCCGCTCACGGCTCTGGGACACGGGTCAGGTAAAAGGCATTTGAATGGACTCGGCCAGGAAATAGCTCACTTTCCAAGCCCTAGTCCTTCCCTCCCCGACTTCCTAACAGCTCTGCACTTGATCTTATTCCCTCTCAAGTTCCTTCTCTCTTCAGAGGTCCAGAGAGCGGAGGTGGTTTTGTGAGTGCGTTGGTTTGGCTTTGTCGGCTGCACTTGGCCACAACAGGTCCCGCCTGTCTGTTGCCATCCACAGGCCTCCCTCCTGATGCAGGCGCCTCCCACACATCTGTCCCCACCCTCCGCCGCCTCCTCCTGTGGCGTAAGACAGCACAATAGCCACTGGTGACACAGGGAGAAATTAGAGGCCAGGCAGGCTGTAGCCTAACCCTTCTGTTCTTTTCCTTCTCTTCCTTGCTTCTTCTCTCTCTTTGTTCGTTCTTTGTCCATCTCTCCTTTCAGTAGTTGCCCATCTTTTTTTTTTTTTTTTGCCTTTTTTGACACGGTTTCACTATGTAGCTCAGGCTGGCCTTGAACTCACTTTGTAGCCCAGGCTGGTCTTGAATTCACTTTGTGGCCCAGGTGGGCCTCAGACTCATAGCAGTCCTCCTGCCTCAGCCTCCCAAGTGCTGGGATTATAGGCATGTGCCACCAAGCCCGGTTTACTTGATTTTTTTTCTTTTTTGACCCTGGGAATTGAACTCAGGACCTGTGCTTCCCAGGCAGGTGCTTATGCAACTGAGTTAAATCCCCAGCCCATCCTCTTAAATAGTCCCCAAGTCCTTGCGCCTTCAAGGGGGAGGTAGGTACGAAGAGGTGTTCAGGAGACTGCAGACAGACCTGTCTCGGTCCTGCCCTTAGGACGCGTGGTGAGGCGGGTGGAGTGTGTCCTCCATCAGCTGAAATCTGTCGTTACTCAGTGAGGGTGGAACAGGGCGCGTGTGTGCAGCCACGGTCAGTGCACGAGTGGGGCAGAGCAGACGAAGGCGTCTGCTGGCAGACGGGAGAAGCAGAAACGTGTCAGGGAGGCGACCTGAAACGGAGGGAAGGTTAGGTCAAGTGACACGAGAGCGGAAAAGCTCGGACAGAAACCATGAAGCAGACTTGGGGGAGAAAACCAAGAGTGGGAAGAGAGAGTCCCGGAGGTAAGAAGCCCAGATGAAGAAATCACTGTTCTTTTTCACCCCCGTTTACGGTGCCTTTCCTGTGGTTTTCTTCATCCCAATTTTATCTCTAATCACTCGTCTTTTAAGAAAGACTCTGCAGTTTGCTGTGTGCTTTAAAACAACTGTAAGTTCTCTTTAAAAAAAGCCAGTTTATACTGGCCATACAGGCAATCGCAGCACTCAGGAGGCTGAAGCAGGAGGATCACCTGAGTTTGAGGCCAGCCTGGGCTACAAAGTGAGTTCAAGGCCACCCTGACTCTGTGCCAAAAGGGGGTGGTTTTCCTAATCAACTGCTCCAGTGACCCTAGGTACAACACCCCCACCCCCACCCCACCCAGGGGCAGATAGCTTGGAGGTGTGGAATTGAGGAAGAGGATTTGGCCAGACCGGCCCAATCAGCCCTGCGGCTCAGAGGGCTCAGAGTAATGACCTAGGGTGCAAGAATGTCACCCCACCGCCC